CCCAGCCCTCCCCGCAGCGCCCCTACCTCGCAGCCCCACGAGCCCGCAGAGGCAGCGCGGGCGCTTGGCGTGGGCCGCGAAAATCGAAGAGGTCCCGGCGTGACGTCAGCACAGAGGGGCAGGGACCGAGGCGGGACCAGGCGGGACGTGTGGGGCCACCGGGCAGGAGATGAGGGCCAGCTCGCTGCGGGGGCCGCACCCCGGCCTGCGCTCCCACCCAGCGCCGCGCAGGGCCACCGTGGGCAGCGTGCTGGCAGCAGCCCCTGGTCCCCAAGTGCGGCTTACAGCCCCTGACCTCTGGGTGCAGAGCAGGCTGGGACACACCTGACGCTCCAGAAATGCCTGAGGAGGGTGGGGGTGGGGCCTGAGATCTTAGAGCCCAGCAGGTGAGAGCGGTGAAGCCCAGCGCACAGAGTGGCCCCAGGTGAGGGAGGCCAGCCAGGCAGGCCCTGGCGTCAGGGTCACCCCAGTAATGACAGGGTGCAGCTCCAACTTCACCCCATGACAAGCAGCCCGGCCCGTCATCACTGCCCGTAGGGACTCCCTTTCATCTGGGGACAGCTGTTAGAATGTAAGCACCCTGTTTTCAGACCTTCTTACGCCAGCTCCACATACTAAACGCTTTACACGCTCAGCCTCGCACTCAACTGGGAGATGACGTGCCCTTTCCGTCTCGACACCCTCAGCAGCAGCCCCAGCAGGGGGCCCTGAGCCCTTGTCTACTAGACCAAGTGTCAGGTAGGGACCAGGGACAAGCACTGTGGAGGGGGCAGGGCAGGAAGGACATGGGGACCCAAAGGGAGAAGCTGCCTTTGGCCTTGGCGTTGGGGGCTGTGGGGTCTCCTTGGACGGAGCTCTGTGGGGAGGGTTCAGGGTCAGCGGCTGGTCACATGGCGGCCCAGGGAGCAGCAGTGGTAGCTCAGGAGTGCAGAGGGGGTTGGGCTAGGGTTGGAGAGGGGCTAGGGCAGGGGCCGTGGGGGGCTGGGGGTCCACAGCAAACCACACACCAAATGGAGCACCCCGTTAAATAGAGGGGGACCGGTTCTCCTGGGTGGGCGGCACCCTGCTGTGCCCTCGGTAGAGCTGGATGTGGGCCCCCTGCCACCCCTGGGGCCTCCCCACAGCTGG